TCAAAAACATATTGTGAGTGCTATTGTTTTTGAAACCATAAATGTGATTATCAAAGATATTGTCAATAGCTTGTTTTCTATTCTAGTTGATGAATCTCGATACATTTCAATGAAGGAGCAAGTATTGGAACATTTTATTGGTGTTATGCATGTTTTGAGTACTACAACTATCTCACTTAAGGCTGGAATTGATTAATTATTTTCCATGTGTTGGGTTTTTTGATACCCAATAATTCTGGCCGATGATATTAAACAGTGTCGGATAGTAGGATTAGATTTCATAGGCTTCGTCCAATGATTCAAATATTTATTAACACACTCGATTAATTAGCTCAACTCGAAAAACAACTTGAGGGTCGTTTCAAGCAACTTAATATAGTTAATGTTACTCACGGCCCTTTTACTTCTCAGATGGTTCAATTTTGTGTTCTGGCCCCTTTAACCATTAGTTGGTCCATGAGCCCACTATATTAGTCCACCACTATTACACCCTAAAACTATATATTGGCCTCACTGTTGAATAAGCCGTGTGTGTGTGCAATTGAAGAAAGAGGCAGCCAACTTTTCTCTTGTTTTCTCTCTTGAGTCTTGAAATTGAACCTGTCTTCCTCTATTCTTGGTTATTCATTGCAACCACCATATTGTGTTCTTTGTGAACACATTGAGTTGAGCAACTGAAGTAAGAATCGTTGTTTGGGGTTGGAGCCATACTTGGGTGTGTTTAATAAGGTTGAGATTGGTGAAACTGAGCCCAGAAAATCCATCATCGGAGGTCGATTCTTCAACATTTAGTATCAGAGCAAGGTTGGGGTGGAATTTTCGGCCAAAATCCAACCAGAAATCGGTAAAAAAAATAGAAAAATTGGACTGCCCAGTTTTTGCACCAAAAATTGTACCTACAAACGCGATTTCCCATCAATTGAGACCAAGGTTGAGACATGCAGGTGGAGGCGGTGCTGGGTGTGTGGCGCGTGTTCCTGACGGCGGAGCGTGGTATCTCAGGCGGCAGCGCGTGGATTTGATTTTAGGGAAGTTGTCTTTAGGTATTTTGTTTCTCACATTATTTCTAACAGTTTTCATGTTGGAAGTTTTCTGTTTCAAGTTACGCAGAAAAAGTTGGACGATTTTGCCCTTGGTGGATCAACGATCGAAATTGCCACATATTTATTGAATTACTTTAGGCTGAAATTGCGGCCCTTAAAGCAGTAAATTCGCATCTCTCATAACTGATGGACTCAGATAGGTCTGCTCTGGTAGATTGGCTTATCTCAATTTAAATTTCAGCATTAGCAAATCATCGTATAGGGTGATCGTTAGGATTGGGGGTTGTCATTGCTTGGCAACCATTGCTTGTGCTAGAAATTAGGATTACTTGCTCTTTTGTGATTGAGTACTTATTTTTGGATAAATTAGCATATTGTGCTTTATGCTAAAATTGCCGTGAAATTTCGTTTGATTGGATATACCTATCTTGTTGCATCATAATTCCGCTATGTTGTTACTTTTGTTAGAATATCTAGACCTTACCTATTCGAACGTTCCCTTGATCTAAGACCACGAGTCTTATGAAACCCTGAGAATCTAGAACGGTGTATATTACGGCTGCAGGATTACTTTGTGTGATCCATTTGTGCATTTGATTGCCTCATTTTTTAAAAAATGTCTTCGCATTTCGAAGTTGGTATTTTTAATGGAAAAGGTGATTTTTCAATCTGGCAACAAAAAATGAAGGGTATTTTAGGATGTCCCTCAAGAAGATAAGGAACAAAAGCTGCCTATATACTGAGCCTACAAGGAGTCCAGTTCCATGTCTCAAGAATCGAACCCCCACAATGCGGCTACCAGCAAAGCGTGAGATAACCTCACTCATGTCCTTTGCACCATTAGGCTATGCGCCGGGTTGCAACCATACCAGTACTAACGCATCGGATCCCAACAGAACTTCGAAGTTAAGCGTGCTTGGGTGAGAGCAGTGCTAGGATGGGTGGCCCCCCCGAGGCATAGCCCAATGGTACAAAGGACAAGAGTGAGGTTATCTCACGCCTTACTGGCAGCTGTAGTGTGGGAGTTTGATTCCTGAGACATGGAATTTGACTCCTTGTAGGCGCTGTGTACAGGGACGAACAAATAATCACGTGATGAAGATATTATATAGGATACTACACAGATCTTTTAAGAAAATCACGTTCACAAACAACCAAAAGATTAACACCAAGTTAATCAGCACACGGTCAAACACATATAACAAATGCATAAGTGACCCCATGCAAGATCTCACCACACTTATCCTATTCCATTTCATGTTACTCCCACCTCAAGAACACATATCTCCTCTCATCGCCCACCATGCTCATTAAATAGATCACTCAACTCATGTCTAACTGGCAAGTCACTATAGATCCTAAGTCCACGGGATAATCCTCTATCACCACATCACTTATTCCAACCTACGTGGATAATGGGCCTCCACCTTACAGAAGTGATAGAAGTGCCTCTCTCACACTCTATCTGTATAGGATCTCTTTCACAGATAAAGGATTCTACACATTTGATCACATTTCCACTCGTGATCCAAATGTCACACACTACATCCCTCAGTACAAAACATCATGTACCCCTAGGCATTTATACTCCACCTTACCAAAAGACATATAACACATTGCTAATGCATCCTAACCGACTATGCATGCAAATGATCACACCAAGAAATCACATTACCTCAAATTCATGCAAACATACATATCAAACAAATTGAAGTATAACATATAATCATGCAAAAAATTAGGCAATCACACACATGAAGAAATGATCACACACAGATACATATGTAGTTACTAGGTTTACTATCTCAATAAACCTCACTGGGTTCATAGCTCGACCTCTGAACCACATTCGTTTCACCTCTCACATAACCCTTCTATTTATTCTTCTTCTTGGGACAATCCCTAATAAAGTGTCCAAACTTACCACAACTATAACACCGCCTACCACTAGACTTGTCCCATCCCTTGCCCTTTATCTTACCACTTTCATCACTCCACTACTCGAATCACCACTATTTTGAGCTCTACCCAAATTCATTTGCTTAAAGTTCATCCTACTCCTTATCATGTGTAACTCACCATTCCTCTTATCTTCATTTTCAGCCTTAATTTCCATCTCCTTACTCCTGAGTGAATCTATGACAATCTCGGGGGTCAACGCATCCCTACCATACTTAATGACATTTTAAACTCCCTTATATGACTCAGACATGGAATTAAGTAGGATAATAACCTTATATGTTTCAGATATGATTTCTTTATAGTTAACAACATCTTGGATAAGTTTATTGAAAACATCCAGTTTGTCATCAAGATCTTTTGAAAGATCCATTTTAAAACTGAAGAAACGCTCAAGAAGATAAAGTTTATTGGGAGTGGATTTAAACAAATATAGATCTTCCAACTTTTTTCAAAGATCTTTTGTGGTTTTCAGTTTTCTTACTTTTCTCAAAATAGCGTCAGACATATGTAAAATAATTGAGGTATAAGCAAGCTCATCGGCTTCTTCTTTTTCTTCTTTTGAAAAATTAGCTGGAAAATTGCCTTCAATAGGTTTTGAAACCTTTTGTTGGTCCATGAGCCCACTATATTAGTCCACCATTATTACACCCTAAGACTATATATTGGCCTCATTGTTGAATAAACCGTGTGTGTGTGCAATTGAAGAAAGAGGCAGCCGACTTTTCTCTTGTTTTCTCTCTTGAGTCTTGAAATTGAACCTGTCTTCCTCTATTCTTGGTTATTCATTGCAGCCACCATATTGTGTTCTGTGTGAACACATTGAGTTGAGCAACCGAAGTAAGAATCATTGTTTGGGGTTGGAACCATACTCGGGTGAGTTTAATAAGATTGAGATTGGTGAAACTGAGCCCGAAAAATCCACCATCGGAAGTTGATTCTTCAACACCATGCATAGCTGAGGAATATTTAATTTGAGATGTCAGGGTTATGATGGAGCTAGCAATATGCGCATAGAGTATAATGGTCTCAAATCACTTATTTTGAAAGAAAACCCAAGTGCTTACTACGTTCATTGCTTTGCTCATCAACTTCAACTTGCTCCTGTAGCTATGACATAAAAACATCCGAAGAATGAAACTTTTTTTGGGTACACAAATTGGTCAATGTTGTAGGAGAATCGGCTAAATGGTGTAATCTTATTCAAGAGAAACAAAGATTGAAAAATTCTTGAATGACTTGGTGTTGGTGAAATATTAAGCGAATAGGATCTCAATCAAGAAGCTACTCTTAAGCTGGTGATACACATTGGGGCTCTCACTATAGCTGTTTAAGTAACTTGATTGTCATGTTTTCAACTATAGTTGATGTTACTGAGATGAATGCTTCTGACACTATATAAGAGAGATGCATGTATTTTGTAGGAGTAAAATTTGAATTTATATTTAATATTGTAGGAGTAAAATTTGAATTTATATTTAATCTACAGGTCATGAAAATGATCTTAGTGATTTCAAATGAATTGTCAACAGCATTATAAAGAAAAGATCAAGATATTATCAGGGCCATGAGATTAATTCAATTATGTGCAACATGGCTCTAAACCACGAGGGATGATGGATGGGATTCTATTTAGGAATGGTTTGTTCAATGTTCCCGATATAGATGATATGTTCATAGCTTTATATTAGATCGTCCACGGCATGACACGATAGCAAATTTGTATCATTTTCGCGTGAAAATGTTTTATGCTATTATTTTTATGCAACTTGAGCTAAATTATCGTTTTTCTCAGGTCAACGTGACTTATTCCTTCGTGTTGTGTGTTTGTATCAAAATAATTCATTTGTTTCTTTTGACAAGAACCTAAATTTATTTATATATTAATTTATTTAATTATGATTATATGAGTTTTGATTCAACTATTTATTCCCACCATTATTCATGAAATAGTGAATTAAAACTGAGATCTAAACCCAACTCATGGAGAGTGTTATTTCAATCCCGTTGACTACAGGGATTAGCACCCTGGACTAATATTAAGGTATTAACTGCACTGAATGCTGTCTAGTAACAATGTATAACCAGTGGCGAATCCAGGATTCAAGTTCAGCTAGGGCGGTTTGACCGTTGACCGACGATCGTTGACTGTCAACAATCGTAATTGTTCGATCGTTTATTAAAATTTGGTTACATAATATTAAAAGTTATTCAATATATATGTAAATGAACTAAAACGTCAAAATCGTATACATATGAAAATATACTTCGATACAACCCAAAATAGTAAAAAAAAAAAAAATACGATACAACCTTACTCAGTTACTCTGTAACTGTAAACTTAGACAACTGTATTCTACGGGGTCTCATAATTTGAAAACATTGCAATATTGCCTCATTCTCAATTTGTTTAAAAACAGCTTTCTCCACGTAAACCACCAAATTGTCATTCAACCAGATATCACCCATTTTGTTGCGCAAATCACTCTTGATTAGATTTATAGCAAAAAATACCCTTTCAACACTTGCAGTTGCCACAGGTAATATCAAAGCCAAGGTGAGCAGCCTATAAACCAATGGAAAATAACAAGAACTTCTAGTTTCAATCAACTTCTGAGCTACACAGGATATACTATTGAGATTAAAGAAAGCTTCGTCCATTCTCACAAGCAAAAGAAACTTATCAAGTTGAGGTCTAAGTAATAAAAGTTCTTCACTATTGAAGTCCAAAGGATAGAACTGAGCAAAACGTAGCAATTTATCCTTATCAAAAGCTGCAAATGAATCTCTTGGACTTAAACATGAAATGCAAGTAAAGAGCTCAGTAGTTGTTTCTGGAAATCGATCATTCAACTCTTGCAAGATTGAGTCTATCACATGACAATACAAATCAACATAAAAGCGATGAAAATAAGTCACCTGTTGAGCTACACGCCTAGGTCGACCTTTCACCACTACAATATCCTCCATATTAGGCACTAAAATATGTCTATCAACACAAAACTCAATCACCCTACTGAATAAAGTATCCCAACCATTCTCTCTCAAGTTTTGCAATGCACACTTATACAAATTCAATAACCTCATAGCATTCTGAATATCCTGATCCTTTTTCTGTAAGGCTTGTGAAAGGTGGTCTGTAATTGCAAGAATTTCAAACATAAAGTGAAGACTGAACACAAACTCAAAATCTTGCATATTGTTCATCTGTCTTAAGGCCGAAGATTTTTTATCTGAATGTACGGCATCTTCTGATATATTCTCAAGAACATCTACAATAGCATTAAACATATTAATGAAACAAGTAACTGTCAATAAATGTGAGCCCCATCTAGTATCACCTGGGCGTGCCAAACTCATTTCTTGAAACTGACCACTTCCACCAGTAAGTTCCCCAGCATTAAGTTTCTCCAGAATATTAGCTTGATAACTTGTTCGAAGAGCATCTACACGCTTACATGATGTACCAACCAAATTCACAATAATAGCAAGTACGTCCAAAAAATCACCAACCATACAATTCCTACGTGCCACAGATACAATTGCTAACTGAAGCTGGTGAGCGAAGCAATGAACATACATAGCATGCGGGTTCCCTCTAAGAATTAAAGCTTTCAACCCATTGAACTCACCTGACATATTACTTGCTCCATCATAGCCTTGACCTCTCAGACTAGATATACTCAACCCATGTGTAGAAAATATTGCATCAATGGCATCCTTCAGTGATTGGGCACAAGTATCAGTGACATGGGATATACCCAAAAAACGCTCCTTCACTCGCCCACTTTTATCAACAAACCTTAAACAACTGCCATTTGTTCTTTCATAGAATTATCGCGAGCCTCATCAACTAAAATTGAAAACAAAGAATCACCAATCTCATTGATAATAGCCCTTGTCGTCTCTACAGCACAACAATTAATCAAATCCTTTTGGATGCTTGGTGAAGTCATTTGGTCATTTCCAGGAGTATTACTAAATAATACTTCTTTAATTTCCTTACAACGAGCTGCATACCAGTTCAATAACTGAATCAGATTTCCTCTATTAAGAGACTCTTCCGATTCATCATGACCACGAAATGACAATCCTTGCATCAAGAGGAGTCTAGTACAATCTAGCACCGCAGTCAACCTGGTCCTATAACTTTGTTGTTGACTACTACTTTGGCTAGAAATAACGTAAGAGATACTTTGCTTTTGATTCATCAAGTTGGTACACTTTGCAAAAGCTTGATTATGAGAACTATCAAAGAGACCGACATGATCTTTCAATGTCTTTTTGTGCTTCCAATCCCTAAAGCCGGTCTTAGTAAATATATGTCCATCCCCTTGACTCCCTCTATCAGGTTTGAACAAGTAGCAATGCAAACAATACGCCGCATCCTTTTCTATACTGTATTCCAACCAATGAAATTCGGAGAACCATTCTTTCCGAAAACATCTATTATCATTCCCCATCGGTCTTCTTGGGAAATCATGTTCATATGGTTGACAAGGACCCTTCTCCAAGTATGTCATCCTAACAACATCTCTAATATTAGGATCATATGATTCAATAGGGGCCGTTTCCCTGGATCAGATACAAGATCATCCACATTGAATTGAGCCCGAGACTTCTTTGTGTTATTCAATAACTCTTGTGCTCGACTAGAATCAGTGGCGGGACTAGACCCACAACTAGAAGTAGAAGAATTGGGTATGGACTTTCGTTTTGGTTGAAAAAATCGTTCCATAATCTGCAAAATGTCATCCTAAACGTAAATTCCCAAATCAATAATCATTCCTAATATCATATTCCCTCATCAAATCATAAATTACTCATCATAAATCACAATTCGCAAATACAATTTCGTAAACATAAATTCAAATAAATTACTCATCATCAAACACGGGGATTGAACCTAATGTCAACAAGTTTCCTACTGGAAGTCTTGAACCAGACCATACATTTAATTTCATGTTTTTGTTCCATTTATAGCATTATGGAGAAATTCTTTATGTTTGACTAATACATTATTTATCGCAAAGATCCAATTCCATTAAATTGTTGTCAAATTCTTTATGAGAAGGTAATTCTAATTTTGAGTGTCATTTTTGTTTTCAAATTCTTTATAAAATTCTTTATTCCCGTCTTCAAACTCTCACTTTTCCATTCAAGAATTCCATTTATCACTTCACAGTTCACAAATCATAGATTCACATATTCTTCACAAATTCACATATCACAAATCACAGACTCACAAATTCTTCACAAAATCACAAATCACAATACTTCACAATTCTTCACAAATTCACAGACTCACAGTTCACAAATTAAATGCAGATATCTAGATGACAATACTACTGCTCCAATCTTGACTATGCAAGAAAACAAAACTATGGTCTATGGATAAACAAATCCACGATGACTGAAGGTGAATTTTGAAAATGTTCGTTTTCAGACCACTCGTTGTGACTATCACAGATTCACAAAATCACAAATTCTTCACAAATTCACAATTCACAATTCACAATTCACAATTCCAATTTCTAAGTTTCCAACCCCTGAACGGCTGAACCAGTGAACCCCATCGCCTCTCACAGATCACAGTCTCACCCTCACTGTCTCGCTCTTGCAGACGCACAGTCGGCACAGGCACAGTCGCACACTCGACTCGCACTCGCACACTCGCACAGTCGCACAGAGCCACAGACGGCAGTCACGGCACAGGCATCATCAACAATTCAACATTCATGATTCAATTCAACAGTTCAACACCAAAAGGTCCAAAACCCAAAAACAAAAAAATAATAAGAGTGAAAGAAGGAATCATCACTCACCTCTCACCGGTAATTTTGGGGGAAATTCGAAATTCTTGGTCTTGGAGCTGCGCGCCTGCCGCCTGCGCCTGCTATGCTGCCTGACCAGCTGACCTGCCTCTCGTCTAGTCGTCTTCTGCAGTTCTGCTAGCTTGGAAAGTTGGAGTCTGGACTCTGGAGACGGGGAGTTGGGGGTTGGGGCTGGCCGGCTGGGAGGGTCAATTGAAATGAAAAGGGCAAATAAATGGGTTATGGGACATGGGTACCGGGTACGGGTTGCCGGGTTGGCTAAATTCATTTGGGTTGGGCTGCAGCTTGGGCTAAATAAATTAAACAACAATAGTCAATAGCCCAAATAAATTAAACAACAATAGTCAATAGCCCAAAACTTAATATACTTTAGCCCAAACAGCCAAACGGCCCAAACCCAACCAAAAAAATTAAAACCCGACTGTTGTGGCTTCGTCTTCCCCTTCACTGCCTTCACTTCAGGCTTCAGTTCTCCTCCAGGCTCCACCAATGGCGCAACTGAAATACTTACCCGGCGGTCCCGGCGGCTTTGTAGATTCCGGCGGAGCCAGCACCCGCGGCCGCGCCCCCTCACCGGGTGCTGGCTCCGCGCCTGTGTATAACCGTTCTATTATTGTGAAAATAAGACATGCACATTGTTGATGGAGTGCTGGAAATTCGTTGAACTACACAGTGTTCAGTTTTTTTATCATAACTTTCTCTAGAAAATTCCTATTCATGCATGGTTGGTGGCATTGGAAACCAGATTCGTTTAACTTTCCAATAAGTTATTATTTATGATCAGATTCGAAGAAAATCGGGAGTTGTGAAGGCTTGAAGTGACACCTTGGGACAGGGGATTACATTTGGGAGTTTCTAGTTTTTAGTTTCAGCATTTATTTTTCCATTCTTGTATTTAGATGCATTATGATGAGAAGTGTTAGACAAACTTTTGTCAAATGACCTCCTGGACTATGATGTTAACCGGGTTTAATTTTTCAATTGGCATTGACCTGATGACTGAATGGTATATAAACGCCTAAATTAAAATGACTCAAGCCAAAATATTAATTGGGCAATTTGAAGCGACCAAATTAAGTTGTGTTGCTCATGACCCGATTCTTCTCCTACTTGGATGGCTAGTATCTTGTAGACCCATTTGAGATCAATTGGGCCCATGACGCATTATTGTGATCGAATGGACTTACCTTAGTTTGTCCAATTGATACCCTTATATTCATGGCTCTCTTTTGCCTCCATAGACTGTGCGATCTGGGCGATTCTATGGCTCTTCCGCTACCATTTTCTATTTCATCCTTCACATAGCCTTTGTGGCCTCCTTCTTTGTGATTTATGTTAACGGAATGAAGTGACGTCCAAGTTGGTATCTTACCATACATAAGTTCCTCCAGTATTGTCACCTAAATAAGAAATGCTCTTACCTTGTATAGAATTCTGTAGGAAATATATATATATATAT